ATTTAAGCTTTAGAATTATATAAAGTTTTTAAATTAAATTATTGAATATAAAAAAAAAATAAATTTTAAAAATTTGCGGAGATTATTTTTCATCAGAGTTACAATAATCATGTAATTTCACGTGATTTCAGTAAATAAAATGAGAATTATACCTAGGGTTTCTTTTACGATAATCCTATCCAAATGTGGCATTCAATATGACAAAATATAGTATTTGTCATATAATACATACATTTTCTTTTATCGAGAGTTGACCGTATATTTATTTTTAATTCTTTTTTTTGTGCAAAGTAGTAGGTACGCCTATCTTAGCTTCAAAATTTCGCTTATATTCTAAGAAGTCGGCCTCACTCATACTCTCGCGCTCTTTTTTCTTTTTTTCTCTCAAGTTCGAAAAAAAAAATGATATTCCAAGGTATAATTAACTAGATTGAGTGATGAAGTTACAAGAAGGTGAGATTATATTAGCTTATTCAATTTACATATATCACTAATTCTCATTAATAATTTTTTTATATGCTTTAGTAGAACCTTCTTTGAAGATAAATCAGAGAATACGAAATATAAATCAAACTTAATGCACCATACCTATAATCCATTTGAGCAACCAGAGATAATAGCGTATATTACCAAAAATCTTACACCATATGATCTTACAAAATACCTCTATATTAATCGAATATGGAATAAAGAAGCAAAACGTGAGTTCTTTATAAGGCAAGAAAAACTTCAAGATATATTCTGGAAATTAGATTCAGAATTAGAAGAAGCTGAAGAAGAATATGCCTGGTGGATTGGTGGAGGGGGTAATACTAATCCAGAAATCGAAAACCCTTATATCAGAATAAATTCTTTGAATCGTGAGTTGTTTGGAATTATTAAAAGACTGCAAGAATTAGAACATTATATGTTGAGTAATAATATTATTGATAGAATAGCGGGAGCACATTATATGTATGGTAAGGTTACTTCAATATGAGCCAGTATATAAGTATTGAAGTATTGAAGTAATTCTAATATTCGGTTTTCCAGCCCATATATTTCGTAATCGCTCATTTTTCCTTTCCAACCCCCACGTGCGTCTCACCACGAACCATATAACGGCAATAATTAACAGAGCAAGTAATATACATGCTGATAGAGGTGACATCAAAGTACTTGCCACAGCAGGGATTGCTCCTATTCCTCCTATCGGGATTTGAGAATTCGATTCAATCAAAGAGAACATATGTGCTTTGGCACTAGCTCCACTATTATTTTCCGGCTGTGCAAGGTAAGGAGTTATATTCGGGATTTCTTGAAGTATATTGTTGTTATTACCGTGTAATGGGTCCTTGCTAATATCGATTTCATCACTTACCTTGGGAATAATCTCAGTATCTACTTTTGGAGATGAGGCATAGCCTTGAATTACTGATTCCTCAGATATAGAAGCACTTTTATCATCAGTGCGATCCAGTATATTTGTATCGATTTTTCCAACTTGATCCATACCTTTTCCACGTATAAAATATTGACTGAGATCTTTACTAGGTATATCAGATGCGATGGCATCATCACTCCGTAAGATAGAATTCGATATTTTTTTTTCATCTGCCTCACCGCCGATCTTGATTGGTACTGACAATAACTTGGATTCTAAGGAGTGTATCTCTGAAGTTTTCAAGGCCAGATCATCTTTCATTTGTTTCAATTCGTCATCTTTCGAAGCCAATGTATTCTCCATATGCACCAATTCACTATTTTTCGAAACTAGAATAGAATTCAAGGCAGATAATTTGGCCCTTAGGGCGTCAATCTCAGATTCTTTCATAGACAAGTCCTCCTGAGCTGAAGATAATTTCGTCTCCAATGCCTCCATCTTAGATAAGAAATCTTTCATTTCTTTGGATTTTGTACGAATCAAACTTCCGTGCGACATTTATATTGCCAACCTTCCACTAAGTTATGTAAATAGCATCAGAAATGTGGAAAATAACCAAAAGCTCAATACTACATACCTCAATTAATGGCTCCATTTCCAACCGTTTCTTAATATCAACAAGATTGATTTCAATTTGTTCACCTTGTTCTTCAGTCTTATCGTCGCAACTGGTAGAAGAAAATGTCGATGGATCACGGGTGGTTTTGATCTGCCACGCCTCGAAAGTGGTGAATGTGTGAAGCATTTCTGCAACTAAACATAGATTTATTCTGTACCAACCTTTTTAGCTGTTTCACATTCTATTTCATTAGTACGTTTGGGCGTACCAGACAAGCTATATTTTCGATTAGATTTCTGCCAAAAAAAAAAACATAAAAAACATGATAACTACATTGGTTATTCTACCCATTGACATATTAAAATTAAATCATACCAGCTTCATATCAACGTTTTCCATTACCGTTGCAGTCGCTTTCGAAGCCCCTTGAGTTATCACACGAGCCATTTTCAACTAGAATCCAAATTCCATTATCAACCATATCAACCAAAAAGTAACGAGAATACAATATTTACCTCATCTAATTGCAATTCCTTCTCCTCTCTATTAAGTTCTTAATTCATACATTCATTTTCAATGTCGTTCCAGAATTCATTAACTTCTCGGAATTTGGCTCGGTGATTCTGCAAAAACACGAATATGATAAATACTATAAAAATAGCTACTGACAACGCAGACAACAACGAACACGCAAGATCATAAAGCGGGTCACACGCAAGAAGCCCGCCGTAGTTGTTGGAGTTCTTAGAACTGCTAGAAGATTTTCATACTACATTTCTGTAGACCACAACGAACACGCAAGATCATAAAGCGAGCCACGCGCAAGAAGCCCACCATAGTTGTGTGAGTTTTGGACTCTGAGAATCTTCTATACTGCCTTGTCACAAAAAAAACAAATTCACAAAAAAGTCTAATAATCAGGAGTTGAACCCGGCTCCCTCGATTTCTCAGTCTCGGGAGGGAGTATCCTGATATTTACACTTGCCCCAAAATTTTCCTTTAAACCTTTGGCTCGTTCAATTATTTCCGGATTACTATTATTGTTTAAAATTGTTTCCAGATTTTTTTTTAAAGTATTTGCCTCTTTTTGAAATGAAAATGTAAAGTCATTTTGTTTAATACGATGTTGATAAAACCCTAGAAAACTATACTGGCTAGGTGGTGTTATATCGAAATAGGCAGAAGTAAACATAGCGATAGTGAGTTTGAAATATGGCATGATTCGATACCCGAAAACCATCGTACATTTCATGAAGTTATTCGGGCAGGGCAATCACAAAAAATCAAGATTGATGTGGATGGTGAATTGGAAAAATTTGCATCCTATCCCGATCCTTTAGATAGAATAGAAAAGGCTTTAGGACAAAAATCATTTGATAGTTATA